GAGCGCCCCGAGCTGCCACCTGCGGCTCGAGGGGGTGTACGGCTACCGGGGCCACCAGTGCCGCAACAACCTCTACTACACGGCGGCCAAGGAGATCGTGTACTTCGTGGCGGGCGTCGGCGTGGTGTACAGCCCGCGGGAGCACCGGCAGAAGTTCTACCGGGGCCACAGCGACGACATCATCAGGTACGGAGGGGCGGGGGCGGCCGCCGTCCCCTTGAGACCCGCGCGCCGAGTTTGCACTTGCCGGTCCTTCTGGGTGCCCGTGACCCGCTCCTTCAGGGCGCATAGCCCGGGAGAGAAACCCGCAGCCATCTGGTCCCGAATCCGCCCTGTTAACACGGGAGAAGTGCCTTTCCCCATCTTCGCATTCTAGAGTCTCTCCCTCTCGGTCGGTGCGGTGACACCAAGTCCGCTTCTCCACTGGGCGCTCGGTTTTCTGGCTGTGTACCCTTCTTCTTCCATCAAATTTGTGAAGTGTACGAAAGGTTATTTTGGTAGCATTTTACTCCTTTAAATCCTTTCGTTGATTTCTTATTCAACGAATTCTTAAAGCGCCCGAAGGAAGTCCTTTACCTAGTAGAGGACTGATAAAAGTCCCCTAAGCTCAAGGCTGGTCCTGGGGAGCGCGCCCAGGGTGGCATCCTGGAGGGCTCTCATCTCTTGGCCATAATGATTAGTTGAGGTTTCACTGCCTGCTGTCATCAGCAGATAGAAAAGAAACCCTGTCAACCTTCAGGCAATTCATTGGACTTTAAAATGTGCACACCTATAGGCAGTTTGGGGATAGGTTTGATCCGAAGAAGGTGCTAAAAATAATTCTGATTTCCAATTCTGTTTCCTTTTCAATAAAGCAATGCTAAATAAATATACTTTTGTATTTTTAACTTAAATCACAGTTTTGTCTTCATTTTAATTCTTTTGTGGACGGCATCTTAAAGTTGGTCCCAGTGCTTGTTTACATTTCTTTAGTGAGCGGTGTATTTGAAATGTAATTTTCAATCAGTGTCTCAGCAGAACTTCTGTGGCAAATAAGGTTAAAAGCTGCAGAAATTATTCTTGTCCATTGATATTGTCTCAAGCACAGTATATTTTTCGTTGATGATGGAGAATGTGTTTTAAAACATTTTGAGACTATGTGTGTGTTTGTGTGTGTGTGGGCGCGCACTCGCTCTTGCTTCTTCTGGGTTTTTTAAAAGAGATTCTATGATTGGATTTGGTTACTCAGTTTTATCCCCATGTCTATTTTCCACAGGATTTAAATTGTGCATTTCAAATCCAGTATCATGGTTTGATGTCTTGTAGGCAAAAAACTCTGGCACTTAAATTCTGTAAATAAAGAAGATCTTCTATTTTGCATGTCTGTCCGTTTATGCTCTGTAAGAGGGAAAAGGAGGCCTAGGACAAACAATAGGTAGGACAAGATGGAGTAAAGATAAGGAGACCAGAAGCTGAGATTGTGGAGTAGGAAATGAGATAGTGTTTTGGGTTCGGTTGTTTGTTGTTATTCACCCCAAGAGTAGAATTTACCCCAGTTCTTTGTCTTTTTTCCTGATCCTTTCCAGTTTCTCTCTTCTTTTCCATGTGTTAGTTCTCCGACAGTTCAGCGGATAGTAGCCTTATATAGTTGAAGAAGCCTTGACTGAAGCCCTCCTCCAGATAGTCAGTCTCTTAGGTTCGATTCAGTAGGTGGGGTAGGTAGGTGTGAAGGATTTTGAGGTGCACTTCTGTTGTTTTTACTACTTGGTAGTTGAGAGCAATATGGTATGAAGATCTTCTGAAACTAGATATGATTTATTTGATGGGGTAAATGATGTTTTGTTTATTCTTCCAGCAGTAATTTGAAGCTATATTATGTCACACTGCTTGAATTTTTATAATTGTGTTTCAGTAAACTGTAAGGAGGTGATGCTTTGCCTTCCTTTGGTATATAATATATACATAGTTGTACAACCATATATGTAGTATCTCAACGTGTTTCAAAAGTGAGATTACTCTAATTTTTGTCATAATTGGATACTTATGATTTTATGCAAAGGATTCACCCTTAAAATAATTTATAACAATAAAAAGTTTTCTTGAAAATTTCAATGCGGTAGTAAAATCTGAATATATAACATCCTGAAGTTGTGGCACAAATTTAGTACAGTACTAAGACTATAACTTAGAAATCGCTCAAACAGTTTTGGAAATTTTGTTTCATACAATAATGGTAGAGATCATTCTTGTTTGTGAAATAGATCAGGAAAATGTTCAAAGCTTTCAAATTTGTTTCGATTCAGTGTTTGAAATACAAATATAGTTACTACTCCAGTAATTTTTCAATTCTGTCACAGCAGAAAATGTAATATTCATAAATGTGATGGCATGGTGGAAAACTGTTGCTGTAATATTAGCCTTATTAGTAAAAAGTATAGTTTTTATCATCTGTTTTGTTTTCATACTTGCTTGAAACTTAGGTAAAACATATTAATTGAATATAACTTAGTCTGAAGCTGACTATACCAGAATGAGCAAGTCGTTGTCTTTAGGTTTTGAAAGTGTAGGTGCCATATTGGTTGTAGACTAAATAATGATCAGTTGCTTACCAGTTCTATCATCTTGCTACATCTAGCATTGCCAATGGTGGTGCTTTTTGCCAGTTTAAGGAGCTTTTTGCCAGTTTCTAGCCTTTTCATCAAATGCGCTAAGCTAGAATCCTCTAGAGCTGGATCCCAGAAATTTGTTTTTCAAACAGTGCCCCAGATGATTCTGTTTAGGAAACACGTTGCCAATCTGTATCCCAAAACATGCATGCATAGAATTCTTAAATAAGCAGTTTGAGAAATGGGTAGAAACCCTCCCCTCAAACCTGATACCAGAATTTTCTTAAGCATTGTGTAATATCTAGAAGCAATACTTCAGAAAGTATTAGATTATATACAGATTTAGTAAATTGTCCCTGTGTTTAAGTAACTAGAATTGGTGACCTGAACTTTCACAGACTACTTAATAATTCTGTTCTGTAAGATTTCACTTTATGTACTTGGATATCAAAATATTTATGGTTGTTTTTCAAATACTGCATAGTTTAAGAGATAAAATTAAGATGTTTTCAGTCAAAGGTTGGAATTATCCAGAATAATAGTTCAAATTGTCATAAATGTACATTAAATGTATCTTTATTATTTACTTGGGGAAAAGACAAATTTTACATTTGTGTTATAATAACTTTTCCTTTATTATTTTATAGTGTCTAATATATAGATAACTAGTAAAATATATTTGGATATAAATTAAGGAAAACATGGTAAATAAATAAATTCTTTGAAGCTATTAAGAAGTAATAGTTTCTAAGAAACTATTAAGAAATAAGAATAGTTTCTTAGAAACTATTAAGAAATAAGAATAGTTTCTTAGAAACTATTAACTTACTGTTCTTTCAAGGTCTTTTCACTCATCAAAGAAATATTTATTGAACATCTTTGTGGAAGGATCCCAGCTTTAAGGTATTAGGAGTTTAAGACACTATCAGTCAAGTAAAGAATCACTTAGAATACTATGTGTACTGTGGATAGCGGTATGTACATGGGCACATAACAGTTACAGTGATGTTACCTAGTGAATAGAATACCTAAGCTGTCTGGATCTTTAAGGAGAACACAGAAGTCGTCGTCAGAAGAAATGAGTGAAGGCATAGCATTTTGAGAAGAGGTAACATCATATGCAATCGTCTTATGTTAAGAGAAAATATCTAAAAAAGTTGTTTGTACTCACTATCGTCAGTTCTTTTTCTCCCATTCAGTCTTAGCTCTGTTCTATTTCACCCTAGCAACTCTTGTCAAGGTCACCAGTGACCTCCACAGTGCTATATCCAGTGGTCAATTCTCTGTTCTAATCTTATTTATCATCATCATTTGCCACAATTGGTTATACCCACCTTCTTAAGACACTTTCTTTTTGTTTTAAGATTTATTTTTAATGTGGACCATTTTAAAAATCTTTATTGAATTTGTTACAATATCGCTTCTGTTTTATGTTTTTTTGGCCCCGAGTCTTAGCTCTGTTCTATTTCACCCTAGCAACTCTTGTCAAGGTCACCAGTGACCTCCACAGTGCTATATCCAGTGGTCAATTCTCTGTTCTAATCTTATTTATCATCATCATTTGCCACAATTGGTTATACCCACCTTCTTAAGACACTTTCTTTTTGTTTTAAGATTTATTTTTAATGTGGACCATTTTAAAAATCTTTATTGAATTTGTTACAATATCGCTTCTGTTTTATGTTTTGGTTTTTTGGCCCCGAGGCATGTGGGATCTTAGCTCCCTGACCAGGCATCGAACCTGCACCCCCTGCATTGGAAAGCGAAGACTTAACCACTGGACTGCCAGGGAAGTCCCTTAAGACACTTTCTTAATTGGTGTCTGGGACACATCTTAGTGTAAAAATAGGTATTTCTTGCTTTACTTATTCTTTCAGCAAATATTTATTGAGCACCTATTAGTATTTATCAGGGACTATTTTTAGCACTAGAGTTATAGTGGTGAACCAAACAGGTGAAATTCCCAACCCTCATGGAACCTGTATCTACTGGGGGGAGATAATAAACAAGGTAAATTTCATATTTATATACATAATAAATATGTACATAGTGTGTACATATACATGTTATCTATTATTTTTGTATATATAGTGTGTATATCTGTCTATATCTATATAGTATGTAAGGGCTAAGAAGAAAACAGGAAAGTGAGATAGAGACTACTGGGAAGAGTTTAGATAGGTGTTTGGATAGGGTAGCCAGGAACGCCTCACTGTAAAGGATACATTTAACACTTGAGTAGAGACTTGGAGGTGAGGGAATGTGCTGTGTGGCTATGAGGGAAGGACATTTCAGTCAAAGGGACTATCAAGTTCAAAAGCCCTGAAATGGAATGCCTCATGTGCTTGAGGAACAATATGAAAGCGTGGCTGGAGTGCAGTGAATTCACGTGAAAGTAGTAAAGAAATGAGGTCTGATGAAGTAATGGTGGTGGGAGCAGATTGTGTACGACCTTACAGGCTTTTGAGAGGATTTTTAGCCTTCCCATCTGAGGGAGATTAGAAGCTATTGGAGCAATTTAATCAAATTAGTGACATAATTTGAGTTAATGGTTTAACAAGGTCATTCTGGCTCCTGTTTTGATGACAGACTGAGGGAGAG